TTTAGTTATTCCCTTCACCGTAAATGAAGTTTAATTTTAACCTTTTTAATAACTGACGTTTCGGGCACTTTACATCACCCATGGTCACGGGGGGACTGAGATTTGACCTTTTTGTCCTGATGTCATAGTTAATAAAGGCTACCCTCAATTTACATTTTTATTATTTTTTGGTTCGATCTACACAGAACGAGCTTAAAAGTCATCCTTGAAAGTCTTGCAGTAGTATGCTTGGGCTTGAATTTAATTTTATTAATTATGGGATCCCAACAAGATGGTAGCACCCAACCCAACTATTAAAATTAAGATGCTTCTTAATTTTAATTGCCTTGCGAATCATCCTCGTTAAGAATCGGTGTTCTTTTGCGAGAATTTATGGTTTATCAAATTTGATATAATGGGTGGGATGGTACTGAATATGTTGACATACTTCAGATTTCCTGAAGGGTTGGTACGATGGATTAGCGATATGTTCTTCATCCAAAAATTCATTAAATTCGCGCAAAAAAAATTAAAATTAAACGCGATTAAATCCGTAAAATTAGTTCCATTCCATGTGTAGTACTTGCGTAAATATTTCTAGATCATTATAGAACTTCTTTTATGAAAATTTTAAGTCTACTCGGCCGTAAAAAATATCAGTCTCTATTTCATGGTGCCAATCAATATTAAATGGGACTCCGATCCAAATATACTCTGTTCCAAATATCGCAAATAAACAGTATACCATTAATTATTACAAGACCATGAAATATTTCATTACTTTATTAAAACTTTGATTATGAATGAATGTAAAGAGTAAAATGTAAATAACGCAATTTGTTTCCAAGACAATTTACATTTCTAATGGATACATTGGAAGACACGCCGGGTATAAAAAAGTAGCTGTTTCTAGACATATTAATGCAATTCTGAAATATTATATCTATGTCAAATATCAAACGTCTACGTCAAATAATCCTTAAGAATTCAAAAAAAAATCTTTAACAAACAGAAATGGTGACACAGACACCTAGGTAACACTAAAAGTGATTGAATGTTGTTAAATTTGGCACGGAACAGTGTTTAAAATGATGTTACTAAATTGAAACTCACGTTAGAGAAGCCGCGGGTAAAAAGCTAGTGATGAATATGTCCACTAAAAATCTGATAAGATTAAAAATCCAAATAGTAAGAAAATAGAGTCAAGTTGTAATGAACAAAATTATGAAATTAGCATACAGTTCGTCAACATGTTACTCAATAAACTGAATACACTGGGGTTTTATAATACATTTTCCTTGTACTGAATACTGAACTCTGCCGCAGATAATAAACACAACAGAGAGTGCTGTTTAAAAACGTTTTAAAACAATATCATAGTTAAAAATTGCGGCCATTAATATAAAAAAGCAATTTCATGTTTACGATGATAATGATGATATGATGCTATTTTCCAAATTATCATATGCTAAACTGCTGAGAAAATAGTTTATTTAACTTTACACTCTGTTTTAGTATTCCCTTTACTGTAATATGTGGTAGAGGCATGCTGCAGCTATATTATGGTTGTAGCACGAATGGGTCGGCACGACCAGGGGAGGATCACGCTCTCACAGAATACCAGCGTAAAACAGCAGCTCCATGCCCCTGTATTTCGTACGGTGAGTGTAGAGAACCAGAGACCTTTTTTACTGGAAACGAGGCATTCCATCTAAGTCCTCAGGGGAGTCAACGCATCTGCATTTTGATTCCTAATCGAGGATAAAAGTAGATGTCTGTGGGCCACAGCATACACTTAACATCAGGTGGATAAAAAGTCGTCGGGGTCACCACTGTGGCCGTGAAAGAAAAAGGGGAGATTTCCCTCCGGGCAAGGTGTTCTGCCCGGGGAGCGGCCAACACTCCATGTGATAGTTCGGAGATTTTCTATATATACTGTTTATGATTCGGAATATTGATAGCGTGATTTAGGCTTCGGTTTGTTTCACTTGCGACGCGACGACAGCGCCGCCACAATATTAATAAAACTTTTGTACGTGCGTGCATGCGTGCGTAATAATACATATATAGGCGCTATTTTAAATTTTTCTATCCGATTACAGTCTTTATAAACCTTCAGAGCAGCAGTGAAGAAGCTTTCGCTAAGCTAAGTTAGTGTGCTATGCCATCCTTGGCACAGCACACTATCTTAACATATATTTATATATATATATATATATATATATATATATATATATATATATATATATATTTATATATATATATATGGGTCGATCAACTATTTTTTGTCCTACCCCTGTCTCTGACATTCAAATATTTTTTTCTCCAAAAGTATGGTTGCGAATAGGAAAATTAAGTGTTTGCCTTATCATTAGTAATATGTTTAATACACAGGGATTAAGACTTGGTAGATAAACACAAAATTAACTGAAATATATGTGGTTGTCCAAAAGACGCAAAGTTCTTTTCTTTGTACAATTATATGTCCCCAGGCACTACTCATCTATAAAAATAAGAATGGATGAAAAAATTTCCATTGTCACATTAAAACTAGTTTCTCGAAAATATTCAACCTTATTTCATAGTTCATAAAAGCTTCTAATAATGTTTCCATTGGACATCTATCGCCTAATCTCTAAATTATTACGTTGTCCCACATGTTACTTCAAAATCGTATGTCTATCGGATAACCACTAAGAACTTCTAAAATGAGAGAGAGATGGCGTTACAAGTCTGCAATCAATAAAGTAATCAATAATAAAGGCGCGGCGATACAACCGCCATTTTGTTTATTGGAAGAATGTTCGAGTCAGTCGGCCGCAAACAACAAGACAAGTTGCGTGTGTTAATTGTGAGTCCACTGAACCACCGCATCAAAGCTGTAAGTATCTAGATATTTCATTACAGATTGTATAAAAAAAAGTTAGTTCATATTATTACTTCAATGGTAAACTTAGGAATCAGGATAATAATTCAATAATTTTTCAATGAAAGTCCCTAAACTTAAAATGTGTAAAAAGACAACCATTTGGCACTAAAAGTTGTCCAAGAGACATTTTTGATTGTCCAGGGGATTCATTTCAAATGATTCCCGATTTATTAAGAATTAAGTAGCAATATTTGCAAAAAAATAAATTCATTTTATTTTTATAAATAAATATAAATTTATATATTTATTTTAAGTTACTATAATAACTTATAATTAATATAAAATATTTTTATTTTAGAACATTACAAAATGAGAATGTCATCAAAAGAAAAATCCAAACGTTATAGAGACAGACTAAAACAAAACCCGGAAAAATATGATGAAAGGAAAAGAAAAAAGCGAGAGAGTTACCATAAAAATAAAAAACTATTATCAGATCTTAAGCCACAAGAAAAAGTCAACTGCAGGATCATTTGGAAACTGAGAAAGCAAGAACAAAGAAAACGTAAAAACGCAATACAGGAATTGTTGAATAATACACCTCCAAGTTTACCGTCCATACTTCTCCAGCAATCAGCCTTTATTTGCTCCCACTCCACCGGGTAGCCCTGCAGAAAGTATGACTAGAGGCAGAAAGAAGGTACGTCGAGACAGAACAAAACTATATAGAGAGAATAAACGATTAAAAGAAGAAAATGAAAAGTTAAGGAAAAAATACGAAAAACATAAGAAAAGAGTTCAAAGAAATAAAACAAAATCTAAACAGACAAACAAAAAGAACCAGCGAAAAAACGAATTGCACATCTGATGGACAAAATAAATACACAGTATTATGTAATGCGATCAAGGAACGATATCAAAGAGTTCACAAGAACAAAGAAAAGACGTTTCTAAAAAATATATTCCGAGAACTAGGAAACAAAAGGAAGACGATCGTAAAAGAGTCATTGGGATTAGAAGGCAATATAAGGATTCGTACAAAAGACCACCAAAAGGATAATAATTTGATTAAAAAAATTAAAATTTTTTTCAATAGAGATGATGTTTCTAGAAATACCGCGGGTAAAAATGAAACTATTGGTAGAGGTACAAAAAAAGCTCAGAAAAGGTTTTTACTGGATTCGATGATCAACATTTACAGGTCATTTAAGTTGGAAAACCCAGAACTTAAATGTTCATACTTTTATTTTACAAAAAATAAACCATATTATGTGGTGAAACCTAGTGTCGATGGTAGAGAAATGTGTCTGTGCAAGGTACATACGAATGCAGCATACAAGGCTAAAGCTTTAAGAAACAAATTCGTATTAGAGACGTTTGACCTAAGCTCACTAATTATGCAAACCGTATATGATGCTAAAAATAAAGATTACATGCTTGGAAATTGCGAAATATGTAAGAACAATAAAATTAAACTGAATATGGACAAAGTTCAAGGAAACATACAGTGGTTCGAATGGGTGAGAGAAGAAGAAATATATATATATGAAAGAAGGGAAAAAGACAAAAGCTTTTAAAAATGTAAAGAAAGTAAAGGAAGACGCTATCAAAAATTTGAATTTGATTACAAGTTTTCGATCGCTCCATACTGTGGTCGTATATGTACACAGTGGAGAAAGCAATCACAAGGCTTTATCATTTTGCACTGTATCTCCTTGCAACATTCATCAACCGGCTGCCATATGGGCTCATTTGCACCCGGTTTTAGTAAATATTCAATCTAATTATCCATTGATTAACACAATACACTTTTTTTCTGACGGTCCATTTTCTCAGTATAGGCAAAAGGTGAATTTTTATATGTCTTGCACGAAAATATTTGATTATGGAGTTCAAGCATTTACATGGTCGTATTTTGAAGCAGGTCATGGTAAGGGACCAAAAAAGGGAAAAGAGGGCAGCTGTTTCGCGACGAATTAAAAAAAAAGTAATAATACTACTCACAAGGTTTGCGATTTTGACGATAACTTAAGCAATGATAATTTCTCATTGAGTCACATGCTAACATCATCGCATGAGAATGACATATCGTTCAAAGATTTTAGGACATCAGTATCAAAAAATGTGTACAAACGTGTGTATCGTTCTTCAGATACCTCTGAAAACAATACAGATGAAGATGAGCAGAATGAAGCTCACAATATCTTATCTGGATTAAGAGATTCTGAAGGTGATCAATCTATATTGAAACAATATAACAACGTACCTGGAAATTATGATGATAAGCTGACATCAAAAGTATATGACAACCTACCTAAATTTGACTTAAGTGGACTTTATGTATCAAGACAAAATAATAATTTACCAACATACGATTTACCTGGAGCTGACAACGAACAGCAGCCATCTACATCAGGACAACAAAATAATTTACCAGGACGTGGAGATTATTTACTAGTCAAGTTTAGGTGCCAAAGGAAAATCGTATTCATATTGCTATGTTGCTCAAAGTGACATCGAAGATGATGGTGAGATTAAAGTCACATTTCTACAAGCTGTCAAACGAGGAAAACTATTTATCCTTAATCAAAAAGACGTTTCGTATGTTGCATATGAAGATATCATAAGGAAACTGCCAAATCCAGATGTAGAGTACAAAAGAGGTGAAGTATATTTCAAGTTCCCGTGTAACGTCGAAGTTTTTGAAAAATAAAAGTCATTTTGCAACGATACATTTGGATATGGCAGCTTTTTAATTCCCAAATAGTTTTTATGATTAGTGTGATGGCAAATTATTTTATTTAATCCTTAAGACTAATTGACTTTTAAGACTTGTAATTTTAAGATAATATTTTGAGATCTTTCGATGTCGATATGAAAAAGCTCTTTTGTTTGATTTTGGTGCTCTTTTTTGATTATTTTGGTTGTTTGTTTTAGTATTTAATGTAACAAAAAATACATAATTTACTATTATTGAATGACTCAGGAGTACTTAGCCGTTTTTGTCAGAATTTTAATTTGAAGTTGATTGACTGACTTTAAGCTATGTTATAATAAAGGTTTCGAATTTGGTATACTGTTTCACAGAATCATACTTTAAGATATATTTGATCTCTTTAAAGTAGAAAGAAATATTACGAACACCAAAAGCAAAAAGCCAAAATTTAGAAATTGATTTTAAACTTCCTAATGTTGCATAATTTTTAAGTATCATTACTTAATTTCATATTAAGAATTGTGGTTCTTTCGTGTAGTACTTAATTTTTTTACGTTAATTAATTTTAAGAAACATTTTATCTCTTTAATGTCTTATGAGTGCAATTTATCTTATATTCCTTACTATAAGTATTGTTTGTGCTATTTAATTCCACCCTTCTGACTAAGTTTTTAAAAATGAAGACTGTTTTGAGTAGTAAATCTCAAATAAATACTTTAAATTACCATCAATATCTTTAATTATCCTATTCTTTTTCTATAAATGTAAAGTATTAGGTAACATATCGTATAATAATATCAATAGTATCATATAACCATAAAAATGTCTCTTGGACAATTCTTCATGTCTCTTAGACAACTGTTTTGTCCCCAAAATCAGAATTAACAAAACCTTCATGTTCTAGACAAAAACGAAAAAAACTTAATACTTATTATAAAATTTGCTTAATAGTGTTGGAAAATATCTTCAATTATGTTTTATTATATTATACGTGTAATGTAATGCTTTTATTGAAACTTCTTTCTTTTATTTAGACGGTAGATGTCCAAGAGACATTTTAACTAAAAATAATTTGATAATAGTCAATGCAGTACTGACGATTCAGTGCTCTAGGATAATATTTAACACAGAAATACACAACTAGACCGTTTATTTTTAAACTTAAGCCTTTATTTTAGCAGTTATAAATTAAAACCTACGGTTGTCCAAGTGACCGATATATATATATATAATTATTTAGGTAGCATTGTAGGGAAGCACAAGCACCGGTTTATAATAAATAGTTAAATCAAGATCAAGATTATTGATCGATTTTTCATCAGCAAAACTAAATATGTTTAAAACTACACGAGAAGATTACTCTGTTATGAATCTACACTGTGTGTGTGTACAAAAAAATACCACAGTCTATAAATCCAAAAATACCGTCAGGGGCGGCAAAATTGAGAAACCCTTTGATTATTTTATAGCTATAATTAAACACTTCAGAACTATTGCACGGTTATTGTTGTGATTCCAGTGATGACTGTACTTCTTGTAGATAATTGTTATCAGATACCAGATCATGACGATGGCAAGGGGCTATATATTGACAATCTTTGTCAAATGGTACATTAGTTTTCTTCGACAAACTCTCAAAAATAAATCGATAGTGTGAGTGATCGACTTTTCAGGAGGAAAATCGATTAAACATTAAGGTGAGTATTGTTAAACTTGAGTAAAGTTAAGATATTATGTCTTAAATTTTTGCGTAATTTTTGTTTTGGAATTGTACTTATTTAATAAACCGTAAATGCTTTTTGCGTGAACCATGCTTCGATTAAATTGAGTGCAGATGAAAAATTTTCCCTTATACATAGCGTCTAAGCTCTTCTGTCGATTATTCTGCTTTTTTTTTTCTCCATATCACTCCTTCACAGAATTGGAAATAAATTGTAATCTTAAATTAGGGCATCTCTCTATGACTAATTAATATTGTTTTCTCTTCAATGAACAACCTTCGGTTAATCTACCACGACCCAAAATTGCAGTTTGTGTTGATTTACCCACCACAGGCTAAGTGGTGAAGAAAGCATCGTGAGTAAATTAGTACGTCTGAGGAATAAAAATCTTATCAAGGCATGTGAAGGCGGACTAATCAATCTACAGCCAGAAATGAGATGAGACTGGAGCCCAGCTGTGGGATACATATGAGCTATAATTTCACTTTTTGCACATCGTTAGACCATTAAACTGAAACACAGATAAAAGTCTTAGAAGTTTTATGCATAAAATTAGAGAGGTAGGTAGAGAGACTGTAGTAAATAAACCATATCCAGAGCTCTACACAGAGTTCAAAAGACTCTGCCTGTTGCTTTTCAATGTTATTTAATTTAAAGTGTGATGTATAGAAGCATAAAATCGTTGATATGATTTTGTAGACGCAATCAATAATATTTGTTTATATTGATTGTTTTGTTACCATGTAGTGCTTGTGTAAGAATATTCTGCAAATTTTCCAAAGCATTTTTGAGTTTTAACAGATTTAGCCAAGTTTTCTCTTTCATAATTATTTCGTTTCAATTTTTAATAAGGTTGTTACAATAATTACGGTACCTCTGTATTTTTTAGGATTTCGTTAAAAGTGTCAGACCTTACCTTTTCTCTGCATCTTATTTCATTTTTTAATATCCCATATCGTCCCTATGGTAACAGGGACAGAGCTAATGGACATGATTTTCCTGATAACTTAAACTGCGCAACCCCTCCATGTTGGCAACTATAGCAAAATCCCTCTTATGAGGCAATGTAGGCCTAGTTCACTAGTGGACTCTTATAGCTGTAATAATTGCTTTGAGCAATTACTTGCTCATTTAAAATGGTTCACACAAATTTAATGAGCTTAGACAATGGCCCGCGTATGTTTTATTTCCTGTTTCACTGGATTATAGACGATATTCCTTCCTTTTTTGTATATTTTTAACTGTGACTGTGCTGACTGTGACTGTAACTGTGACTGTGACTGTGACTGTAACTGTGACTGTGACTGTAACTGTGACTGTAACTGTAACTGTGACTGTAATGTGACTGTGACTGTAACTGTGACTGTACTGTCCATCTGTGACTGTAACTGTGACTGTGACTATCTGTACTGTGATGTAACTGTACTGTAACTGTAACTGTGACTGTAATGTGAATGTACTATAATATCTATTATGTGACTGTAACTGTACTTACTCTTAGCCAAGTTAATTTTAAAGACAATTCACCATACTTGGTAGACCAATATGGCTGGCTGCCAAGTGTAAAGATTATGGCAAATTATTATAGGAAAGGCTAGGAAAGGATTATGTTCGCTTGTAAACTGTTACAGGCTGGTGACATAGAAGACAGTATAAAAAAGAAAATATAGCTTATATATTATAGTTTTAGCTTCTTACGAGAACAATGAAGTAGCTCAAATATATAACCTTCACTAATTAGGATTCATATTTATCTTGAGGTTCCGCTCCTGCTGTAATTATCGAAGAATTTCCGCTCGGTATACTTTTGCGGGCTATAATAGCTACCCCTATCACCTTAACTGATTCACGATGATTGACTCGTTATGTAGAGGGTCATGTTATCACGTTGTACAATATTGCGCACACATAGCAAAAGTTTTTAGTTCCCTACGTGGAGATAAGTTAAACGAATTGTAGCAGATTCACGCGCTACTTTTTTCCCCACGTTTAGATTAACTCTATTTCGTGTACGTCTGTTCGAGTCAAATTTAATAATTGATTTTAAACTAAGAGACTTGAAATTTCAAATCGCTCGGAATCGGATGACAATGTAAGAATATGAAAAGAAAAAGCCTCATACTTGCATTAAAATGTTTATTTACCTCAAAAATTATTGGTATCTTTGTTTATTGCTTCCTTTGTATTATTTTATAGTCTGAATAATCAATTCCTAATTGCTCAGCGTATATCACAATATACTTTAAAAGTTATCAAAGATATGACTACAAACAACATTTATTTTATTAAAATATTGAAAAAACAATTAGATTAAATTGTACAAGCCAAAAGCATCCTTATGTTCCAGATGTTGTGGTACGTTATCGCCGTATCTGCGCTGATGGTGACCGTCTCGGGGCACGGACGTGTGACACAGCCTCCGTCCCGGGCTTCGGCATGGCGTTTTGGGTTCCCCACTGTGCCGGACTACGATGACGATGGCCGGAATTGTGGCGGCTTCTACCACCAGCATTCAGTCAACGATGGCATGTAAGTCATAGCGACGGTTCTTGCCTTTTTGCTGGCAATCCTAAATACAGTTGTATTGGAATTTACGTAGTAGATCCGTACTGCAGCTAAATTATGGGTCGGCTCGACCGGTGTATGTACACATAATACCAGCGTAAAATAGCAGCTTAAATTTAAATGCTGATGTGTTTCATATTGTGAGTTAAGGGAACCGAAGTCCCTTTTTACCTTAAATGGGGTAATCCATCTTAGTCTCCAGGAGTGATTTGATTCATTGATTTTTTTTGAGGATAAATTGAAATGTCTATGGGTCACAGCAACCACTTACCATCAGGTAGACTGTATACTCCTCTGTCACCCTATAAAAAATACTAACAGAGCGACTGACCGACAGCCTACGGACACCTGCAGCCTACCTAAAACAAAGAAGGGCACGGATGCGTAACTACCTCTGAGGACTAAGAATGCCTAGCAGCCTGTAATTATACTGGCTCTATATACCTTTCAGACTGCACTGCTGCTAGTTATCAAGATAGGTAAGAGAGTGATACCTATCCAGAAGAACTATTAGACAGAAGAACAGTCCTACTACTTAGTAAAGAAATCTTTAAAAATTTGTCCTTTAAGCCGGATATAACATCTAATAAAAATATCAATAACTCCAGGTAGGTACTGAGAGTACTTATACTGGACCTTATGATCATTCACCCATTTGTTATAGCCTATAAAAGTCCACTGAACTTAGGCCTCCCCCCTATAGATTGCCCCATAGATGGAATGTTGCCATAGTTCCCACGCTTGGTGGCTTGGGTAGGTGGGTTAACAACCACAGTGTTTTTATTATTTGGAGCTGTTATCACCTATCTCCTATTTCAATTACCCTCTGCAGCTTCTTGCCGAGCCGTGGTAGCTCAGATACGAGTAGTTAGCGCTCGCTATAAATTTCACAGTACGCGATCAAATCGGGTTCAATACCCGCCGGCACCAGTGATTGTTATTTGCAATGTTAAGTGCTGATTTACCACGTGCTCGGCGTTGAAGGAAAACATCGTGAGGAAACTCGCATGTTTGAGAAATAAGAAAAAAGATGTTTAGAAGACACGTGTAGTTCGCCAACACGCATATGGGGAAGCGCGGCGGAACTTCCTTGCCCTAAAAACCCTCTCAAAAAAGAGCTGGGAGGTCTATGTCCAGCATTGGGGGGTATATAGGCTGTAACTTTAACTTTTGAACTTTAACTGTAGCCTCTTACGACACCCACGGGACGATATGGGGTAGTAGATATCCTCAGTAGACCGTCACCACACGGTACACGGCTTTGTGATATAAAATTTATATTTATAAATTCCAGGTGCGGCATCTGTGGCGATCCATACGACCAAGCCCAACCACGAGATCATGAAATCGGTGGAATTTACGGAACCGGCGTCATCGTCGCGCATTATGATTCTGGAGAACTCATCACCGCTACTGTCGTTATCACTGCTTACCACCGCGGTTATTGGGAATTCAAGATATGCCCCGATCCGTACAGGAACGACCAGGCGTGCTTCGATCAATACCTCCTCGAACTCGAGGAAGGAGGAACTAAATACTACCCCAATGGAGAAGGCGAATACACAATGAAATACCGTTTACCCTCCGGACTAACCTGCGAGCATTGTGTTCTGCAATGGAGGTACACAACTGGAAACAACTGGGGTGTCTGTCAGAATGGCACTCAAGGTCTTGGATGCGGTAATCAGGAACAATTCGGAGCTTGCTCCGACATCACTATTAGCATACCAGTTCAAAATGCTGATGATAATACGTATCCACTATCTTATAATCAACGACTCGGTTACTTTGACGTTCAAGGTGAGCCTTCATATGACAAAAAGTAAAACGTTTTCTCTCATGCAGAAATGACGTCTTTACCTTAACAGTTTACATCTTGAACTATGGTTGAATCCTGGGTTAATACTTATTAACTTTTTAACTTCTAATCGGCTTTGAAATTAATTTAGAACAGTGTAAACGTTTTCAAAATAATATATCTTCCCAAAGAAAACAAAATTTGTATATATTATGTAGACATTTAGTAATTGCTAATTCTAAAAAGCAGGCTTATTTCATTTCTAACAAGGTTGTGAACTAACCCTTATTAATAATTTCTTTTTATTAACCTGTACCCCTCCATAGACGCACCTTGATACTAGACATTTTTATGTTCAATTTTTTAAAAATCTGGATATTTCTGTGAAAAGTTACAATTAATAATTAATGGATTTATAAATATAAACTAATACTGACTGGAAATTTATAAAAAGATAACTGTTCTAGACGGCTTGTTTGATGTATTTTTTAATAAAAATATTTATGATCACTATTGCCTTTGTTTGCACTATTTATGCTAGCGTAATTAATCTATTTATGACTTTTCCAAATGTTTATTGCATGATAAGGTTTTATAGCCGATGAGTCGCAAATATATTATTCATTATCAATATTTTTAGTTTTCTATATTGTTTTATATTTAGTCAAATTACTATTTTTCTTCACTTCCAAAATAAATAAATAATTGATTTGTTTGAGTAATGGCGAAAGATATCGCTTAACCTATTTTGTCCAATGGAAATTGTAAGGGAAGCTCATTGAATTCATCCCCTACGAGGAGACCCTTGGTACTTAAAAAATATAAAAATAGAATTGAAATCTATAAAAATAGAAAAAGGTCAATTTATAAATAGAATAGAATAATTTTATATTCAATAGGTATATTACAAATTATTCTTATTGAAAGACATTTTTTTACTTCTACCACTAGTTCGAAAATAAACTCGGGAAGGGAAGAACCAGGTTTCTCAAAGTAAAATTATGTTAATAGTTTTGAATATCTTGAGGATGCTTTAGCTTTGTTGTTGTGTAAGTGAAACACCAAAAATCCTACTAATTCCCGCGTCTGCCGTTATCGACGAAATGGCACTAGGACACCAGAATACCAGCGTAAAATAGCAGCTTAATACTGCTGTGTTTCGTATGGTGAGTGTAGAGATCCGGAGACCCTTTATTACTAGAAACGAGTCATTTGACTCTTTTGTATGGTGAGGGATCTATCAGACAGAAGGCGTTCAGGCGTCCAAGCGTTCCACGTTCGTGTTCTGCGTTCTTTGTGTTGCGCTTAGTGTAGAGAATCGGAAACCATTCTTACCGGAAACGATACTCTATCTCAGTCCTCGGGGATGATAACGCATCTACATTATTATTCATACCCGAGGATAGATGTAGATGTCTATGTATCACACTATCCACTCGCCATCAGGTGGTTAACAAAAGGGACAAACGAACATACAGGTTCGTTTCCCTTATTCTATTAAAAAGTTTCAGCGTCTGAATAAATTAAAGTAACTAATGTACGAGGGCCCCACTGAAAATTTCTGGAATCAAGGAAGTGACAAAACATTACTATTTAAAAATGTATTTATTGCTTTTCGAAGTATTCTCCGCGAACTTTGACACATTTTTCCATACGATGGAACCAATCATTGGAGCAACCATTCCATTCGGAAGTTGGGGTCTCCAAAATGGCCGTTTTGTAGGCGTCCACAGCTTCTTCAGGCCATGAAAATGTCTGTCCACGCAATTTATTCTTTATTTTAGGGAAAGTATAGAAATCATTAGGGCTTAGGTCCGGGCTGTACGGCGGATGGTCTAATAATTCTATGTTTTCTTGCTCTAAAAACTCTTTTGTTCTGTGTGCGGTGTGAGAACTCGCATTGTCGTGATGAAGGATGATGCGGCGGTTGCAGTTCTCTTTACGGAGTTCAGAAACGACCTGTGGCAAACAAATGCTAGCATACCATTCTGCATTAACCGTTCTTTGTCCCTCAAGAGGAATAGTCGTATAGAATAGTAATAATAGAATGGTTTTTTGTTTCGGGTTCGTACGCATATATCCAGAATTCGTCACCTGATACGATAGCATTTAAGGATCCTGCGTGGAATCTTTCGAGAGTTCTGACGCACCAAGTAACGCGAGCCGCTTTTTGCTCTTACAGAGCGAATGCGGTATCCATCGGGAAAACAACTTTTTTTACACCTAATTGTTGGTAGTTGGTAATTGTTTTGACTGCAGTTTTTGGACGACCTTGACGGGGATCATCACTGAGCTTGACACGTCCACGTTGAAATTCAAACCATGCAAACCAGCGATAAATTTTGGTTTTGGATGGGGCTTCATCACCAAATGCAGAAATCATCCGGTCAACACACTGTTTTTGTGTTAAACCACTTCGAAAGTCATAATAAATCATCGCTCTTGAATTTTCTCGAGTCAATTCCATTTTCTAACGACTAATCAAGTTTGACAAAACCTTGTGACAAGACCGAGAATCTTTTTTTAAATAAATAAATGGTGTTCGATTTTTAAAACCAAGGAATTTTCAATTAAAAAAAATTAATATGACAGGAACAGTGGAAATATTCCATTCCCGATACTTTTAGTGCAGCCCTCGTATTAAAGTAAAAATGGATATGCATTTGTTTAGTCATCGTTACCATGAAACATTGGTAAGTTGTTGTGTGCACGCACAGGTTTATGCCAAAACAGAGATATTTGCATGCGTTGCGAATGTCTCTTTTTCAACCGTCTTCAAAAAAAGGAGGAGGTTCTTAATTCACACAGTACTTTTTTATTCATGTTACTTCAGAACGTTTTTTCTAGGAGAACTGATTTTGATGATTCTTTTTTTTATTTGATAGCTGGTGATCCTCATATGATCCCATATAAATTTGATCAAGATCTGACCAGTAGTTTTTGAGTTACCCGTAATAATGCGTATTTACATAATTGACTTCGACTACATTGATGATGTTCTCATTTTATTTATATCGAATTCGGTTGTACAAAATTTTTAATTTAACTACTTGTACTTGTTGGCAGAAGCTTTTTTTAGTTTAGTTTAAAACCTCGATGTGTGAACGACCTTTTAAACAAGAAAAAAAAAAAGTAACCCACAATTAATTTTTTTGCGAATTTCAGGATTTTTAATAGGACATGACAAACTGTCGTCAAAAAGGGCAGAACAACGTCTGCCTGGTAAGCTAAATCTTATGATCAAAGGCTTAAAATATTATTCAAATAATTTTTGTTAAATACCCAAAGGGTCCAAAATACTACCTTGCGGCGAATCGCAACTATGAATCCTATAGTTGAACTTTTTTTTTTGTTCCTGTAAGTTGATAATGAATCATATTAATTTTATATTCATTTTAGGCGTGTACGTGCTGCTTTTACAGATGTTGATACATAGCCCACTTGAGGTTTCCTGAGGTTCTGCTTCGTAAGATTTTTAATTTTACGGACGAACATTCCTTCTGTTGTTTTTCTTTACCTCAGAGAACGTAGTTAAACTGTACTCAAGATTGTAGTAATTAAATTCAAATTCATTTATTTCATACAACAAGGAATCTATTAACAAATTCAGTGTAGGTAGCAAGGTCCAAACTTATGTCACTGCACTATAAAATCTACAACGCTCTTCCAATAATACTCAGTTATCTTTACTTATTTGTTTTATTCAATAAAGTAACAATATTCCTCATATCATATTACATCACCCTATTTAATTCACAGCTCTCCTTCATCTCTTAAGGACAGTAAGCCCTCGACCAAATGTTCGAGTTGGGCCACTGCGACCTGACATCAAGTTTTCACCTCATGATAATAAAAACCCAAAAAGAAAACGTAAGGGCAAGGAAACCAAACCTCGTAAAAGGAAGAAGGTATTGTATGAAATTACGTAACTTATCTTTTAAAAGTACCGTATTTTACGTCACTGTCATATATAGTAACTGCTATATTGGAACTTTTACGATAGTTTCAAGTGTGTGATAGATGGCAGTCTAATCAATATTAAATATTTATCGTTTATTATTTTTAGTAGGTAATAACTTTTTTTATTAAAAATGTTAATATCACGATGATTGCATCAAATATTTATAGAATACTTTACACATTTTCAGTTTATTATTTTAACTTTTTTGTATTGTGAATAATTTCAGTAGGTAACAACATTCATCTATACATTAAGTATTTAATATAATTCGACACATCTTATTGTAAAATAAATAAATGTATATTACAATTCATACTTGGTCATGAATAAATAAATGTATATTACAATTCATGGTGGTGGTACTCTGTTCATACGTGGTCTTTTGTTTTGTTACAGAATGAGCTCAAAATAGGGGGTTACAAGGACAACTCTATACCCTAATATGGTAAAATATTTGAAGATTGGCGTGTAGAGATTAAATACCAAAGAAGGGAATATCACTATGCTGTCATGAAAAAATTATGTTCTTTTGGTACTATGTTTTAGAATCCTACAACCAAAATTACTTTCCTTTTAGTGACTTTTATTATGCAAATGAAGCTAATATTCCTTCCCTACTAGAAGTTGGACTGACATTATTTAATTTTATGTTTTATATATGATTAGTGATAATAAGAATCAAATGGTGGGAAAATTTGTTTTGTAGATGATTTTATTTGTTACCTATCACCACGTCTCATGTATAAGTAAATTTTCCAATCGCTTTTCTACAACTTAAGTAGATAATGATTTACAACAACGAGTAAACTGTATAGATTTCTACAAAAAATATTTAAAAAATACATAACTAAAAAACGGTAACTCCCCGGCGGGGAATCGAACCCCGGTCTCCCGCGTGACAGGCGGGGATACTTACCACTATACTACCGAGGACCATGTGAAAATATGTAAAATATAACATATAAAGATATGGTATAATATGTAATTATATAATACATATTATTTTATATGCATAATATAATACACCTTTTGATATTATGTGGGCTCCAGACTCCTGTGTGATTCACAGCGTGAATTCACGTCGTAATTTTGCCGCGAAATCGTCGCGAAAAACACATCCCTCCACATTCGCAATCGTTCACAGTTTAGTTCGCGCCTAGTATATAGTTAGTAATCTATGGTTCGCGCGCTCGTCGAGAATGGACGCTGGAATACGCACTGCTATCGCCGTGACGCTATGCGCTTTGGCTCACGACAATTACGTGTATATAAAAGATAAAAAACCGTATTTGTAGTTTTTTTTACAATTATCGCTTTCTCCTAGAAAAGCATCGATCACGTCAAAGGCAATCCAAATGGGCTTGTAAATTTTGTCGCTGCTTACTCCAGACTTCCTTTCAGAATCCTTCACCTTTTTCTTATAATTTTTATAACTGGACATTAGACTTTTTTTTTTCAATCAGTACGTTCTACGCTTTTCGTGGCAGAGCCAGCTGCAGTTATATTAGTAGTATAGTTGTAGCACGAATGGGTCGGCCCGACCGGGGAGGACCACGCTCTTACAGAATACCAACGTAAAATAGTAGCTTAATGCTTCTGTGTTTCGTATGGTGAGTGTAGAGAACCGGAGACCCTTTTTACTGTATTCATCGTAGTCGTCACGGGTGACAACGCATCTGCATTTTGATTCGTAATCGAGGATAGATGTAGATGTTTATGGGCCACAGCAACCACTTACCATCAGGTGGACTTTGTGCATGTTTGTCAGCCTATCCTATAAAATAAAATATAATAATACTCATTATTTCCTTTATTCGTATTCATGCGTAATGTACTTTCATGTTATATTTATGATCTTTGTGTTTAGCATCCCATTAAATGGGTTCGGCATGATAACACTTGATCAACGAGAGTTCCTGCTCGTTCGTCCAACTGACGCTCATTTTGACGCACCATCATACCTAAAAAAATACAAATAAGCACAACCTCACAGCAACGAGTCTCGCTCTCGCGCGTTGCTGTTTTTACGCGCGAGTGTGGATGCTCTTGCGTTCACGGGAGGTTCACAGTTCACACCTCGTAAACCCTTTGAAGCGGGCACAAAATACCGACACTGAACCACGGTAATTTCATCTATATATTACCGTGACTGAATGGGAACAAGGCGTGAAAAGGCGCGAAGCCCGTGAACGGGCGCGGAAACCACGTTTGCGGTTCACGCCTTTCACGGGTGTTCACGGCGTGAATGTGGAGGGCGCTTTACGTATAATTATTTACTGTGGTACTTTTTGTTGTACTATAAAAGCAACAAAACTATAAGTAGTAATAGTTATCTGGTGGAGTAAATAAGATAAGAGTATTAATATTCTATCTTTCTTATTTATTAATTTCCTTTTGGTCCCAGAATATTTCTATATAAAACATTTTCATTAATTTAACATATATATATTAATTACATTAATTACAGCATATCGAAATTGCACTGCTAAACATAGGCCTTCCAGTTTTTTTTAAATTATTTTGAGTAGATATCCGGGGAGACGTTTTTTTTATAGTATAAGGGTGACAAGCGACACAAGGGACTCAGTCCACCTGGTGAGTGGTTACTGTGGCCCATGGACATCCACATCTATCCTCGTTCGAAATGAAGATGCGTTGTCAGCCGTGAAGACTAAGATGTCTTGATTATTAGTGATATAGATGCAGCAATGCCAGCTGTATCTCACAAACACTCTGAATATAATGCTCAATAACTCAACTGGAAGTGGAAGTACACTTGTTCTTGCGGGATAGAACTGCAAACATGTAAGCACTAATTTGGTTACACTAAAAATTTGGGTCTCTACTGGAAAGAATTGGGGCTTTCAGCAGTGTTTCGCCTCTACGGGGCATCCACAGGTAAAGTAGTCTCTGCAATGGCTGAAGGCTAAGAGAGGGGCGAGCCGAAACAGTTGCTATTTATACAACTCGCTTATCAACGAGTTGTATAAGTAACAGCGTATGGAGAGCGGAGAGATTGCTAGGAGTGGTGGCGATTAGTGGTGACGAAGATAGTGTGGGCCTCCGCAGAGTACATTTCATCTGAGGACGCCTCGTGTAGAGGTGAAACGCATGTCGTATTATCAAGGTTGCTGTGTCGTTCCTAGTGTAGTGGTGCTGGGAGGGGTGGCGCTGAGAGTGGTGGTGCTAAGAGTAGGGGTGCTGGAAGTTGTGGTGAACAGGATAGTGCACGCAACTAAGGGAGGGTAGGAGGCGGGTGCTCCTCAGAGTGGGCAGGTCACATCATTGTATTTTATTACGCGGAAATTGGCAAATTAAGTTCTTACAACTTCAATATAATGGATTTCGCAAAGTAACGCCCGATTCTTTTAATTATCGAAAAAGTTAAGTATTTGGGCGTATTAATCGACCAAAATGGATCTCTCATCTTAGCAACGTACATTATACGGCTAAAATTGTTCTAGGTACGTGCAGTCGTAAGGTTGGGAACAACTGGGGCTTGCGTCCCAGTATTAGGCCGATTATCAGCTACGCCTCCATTCTCTGGTGTAAAAAGGCCAACCAAGAGATGACTGCCGACTGACTAAATAGTCTACAAAGAACTGCCTGCTTAATGGCAACTGGAACGATGTGATCATCGCCTGGAACAGCTCTTAATGCACTTCTGTGCCTAACGCCCCTTGATTATTACTCGTATTTAGAGTACTTGCTTTCCTAAAAATTGAGATCCATGCTCGACTCAACTAAGTAAACACGAGTCTTATGCATGACCTTATGATGAAATTTTAATAAAAAGTACATAGTGGAACTACCCTCTAGAGAGGACTGGCTGAATGGACAGGTTATGTGTGAGGTCGGTAGCCTTATATGATACACCGATAGGTCAAAAATGGACCTCGACGTAGGCTTTGGAATTTATGTGAAATGCCCCAAATTCAAATGTCAAAAGGCCTAGCCCGATGGACCCTTGAAACTCTTTATCACAATAAATCACTTAAGATCTGGTCTGACACACAGGGCTTGAAACATTTTAAAACCTTAATCTGGACTTTTGATTATAAATTCAGTTCAGAAGTCCTGGGATTAGATAAAAATAAACTGCGTATTCTGGCAAGAGCCCTCACGGAACACTGTTGTCATAAAAAGCACATGGCCATCCTGGGACTAAGCAACTCAAGGATGTGCCGTTTTGTCCCTTAACGGAAGAAATGCCTCTGCACATCCTGATTGATTGTAGACCCTTAATACGCAAACGTAACACATCTGGGAAACTATCTACCATAGAAGAAGTGAAATTGCTTACAGCTAAGCAACTACTATTCATTGTAGACAAAGGGCTTAACAGTGAACTATTGCCATAGCAGCGATCACAATAGATCTTTTAGGTCGCAGTGATACTGGTCTTTATTACCTAGGTCGCAGTATTACCTGCATGGGGCATAGCTGCTCTAACAAAAAAAAACTATGCAGTCTGAATCCATGGATTTACCAAAAGTGTCGTATCGTTTTAAAATTTTGTCAGAAATTTGAAACAGTACCGAGCCTTTTTATCTGCTCTGATAACAGATAGATCCTTTTTAAGCCAGCCCGATCCTGAAGAAAGAAAATATTATTTGTGTACGAAGCCGTAGGTGACACAACTGATCCTAAAGATTTGTTTAAAATAAACGTTTTTTTTTACCCTGTGATTGATACAATTATAAGTGCATTGGTTACTTAGCTTAAACTATCAAAATTTTATGAAAGGTGTTCCTTTTTATACAAAATGAAAATAGTTACTGAAAGGTCAAAAGCCTGTGTTGATTCGCAAATCAGTTGAACAGATGGGCATACATAATGTGATTTGTCTAGTTGTAAATTGGTTCAGGAACTTATGAGCTTGAACCCATTATTTAAAGATTTTCAATCAGCAGAGCAACTTAAAGTTCTCAGACTTATTAAAAATAATGATTGGCAGGATATTTTTCCCAAATGTGTAGACAGCATTTTGTATCTTGCTGACTATACCTGTACTATAACTGTCGTTAAATGGAAACGAAGTTTTACAGTACACTAAAACATTTAAAAATGTACCTACGTCTCTACTATGTGTCTGGAAATACTGTCATATCTTGGAATCTTTTCAAACAAGATTATTATTAACTCTTATTATGAGAAATAATCTGTACAACTCGTAGACAGAGAAACCTATAGACAAATTGACGCCTTCTTCGCATTCGCACACGAAAAAGATAGATTTATGCATACGTCTTGCATAGAAATGAGACAAAGCGTTGTGATTGTTTGACCCTTTCTCCATGCCGGTTTTTTTATTTAGCAAACTACACTTTGCTAAACAACTTTGACAGTTCGTAGCGGTCTAGGGAGTTTACAAGTTGGTTTAAGTGAGAAAAAAAGTGTTTTGTGAAATAATATTCAATTGTTATTTTCAATTTCGTTAC